GAATACGACAGTCTTTATGCTGTTATAATAATAATTTTATTACCTCCGTATCATCCATCATTGTCGACGCTGAACACCTTAAAGCTCAATTTTTCTTTACAGCGATACGGAATGGACGCGGACTGGGGACGTATTCCCGAACGCTATAACTTGGTCTTTTCAAGGCGAGAGTGAATAGGCATTATTTAGGTGTACATGCTCCATCGTCGACCTCATCGTCACTGTCCATCACGTGAGATGGAGGTCAAATGCGTATTTATTTTTGTATAGAAAGAATTTCGCGCAAAAAATAGCATGTGTCCAATTACAAATCTGTTCACGTTTGGTTCTTCCCCTGGCGTGTAGTAATTACAGGCCAAATGAGCTTATGTGGCAAGCAAGCAATAATTTTAACATTCTATGTAATTCTTTTGATCTGGATCTTTTCAATACGAGTGTGATTTCGGCAAGGACAGCACTGAGTAGGCATTTCTTTGACATATAGCGAGGCCGTTTTATGTTTTACGTAATAAGTTATGTTTTATGTAAGTAATGGGTTAGTTAAATTGTGCACCCTCCTTATTATATTTCTATTTGTGAGGACCTGGAACTGGCTCTCAGTTGTTACTATTATTATTTAAGTTAGTTCTAAGCCGTTGAACTTCCTTTTAGATAAATATAAAACAGAAAACAAAATGGTGATTTCCTCCGTTAGTGTGAATGTTTTGCAGTCCGTAGGATCGTGTGAACGGCAGCAGACGAACAAATAAACTGAACAGAATATATTAATAAACCACCCACAACGTCATCCGAACTTAGCGCGACTCAGTTTAGTGGCAGTAGATCTCCTGGTGAAAGAGTTCGTCCGAGAAAACACAGCTACCATATCTATTTCTGCCGCCAAACAGTATTTTTTTTCTATTTTTATTATTTGGGAAACAAACAGTTTACAATTTGTATACAAGATTATAGTACAAAAACACTTACCACTTAAACCAGCAAAAGTTTCTACTAATAAATATACCATTAAAAAAACGGAAAGTACTTACTTGGTATTTTTGTAAACACAAAGAAAATAATAAAAAAGAAATAAACTGAAAACCAATAACTTCAATTATTGTTCATAAATGGACTTAACAAATTTTGGGAAGGACAAATAAAATATATCTACATCTGAATGATTTTTCTACAAACTCTAAACAAGAAAGCGTTAATTTAGTTTTATAACCAGGCACACAAAAGAAACTTTTATAATGTAACACTGCGTTCTGGACTTTAGGGAATGGGTGCTGGTGAAACTACACATGAGATTTCTCAACTTTATGTCTCAAGGTGACGGGTATAGTGGCAGACAAAGTTAAAGCTCTGAGTGGCACTGTAAATGTTATATTCGTCATAAAAAAATATTCCATGAAAGCACAAGTGTCTGCGGTCGATTCACGGCAAGTGCTCGAACTTGATGTGTTTCCATTAAGAAAGTAATTTTTAGCTGCTCGTTTTTTCTTTAGCTGAATCTGACGTAAATTAGCATTTCAAGTGTAATGGATTGACTTGACTTAAAAGCACTTTATCCTCGACCTTTTTTACCACCATCACGAGCGGTGGTAGCTCAGTTGCACGGCTTCCTTGTCAAGTGAGAAGTTGGGTAGTTTTTAGTGTAACTAAAAAAATTACTAAACGGGGAAAGTATTAGGAAATGAAATTAAAAAAAAAAAGAAAATCGCGTATATTTGTTTTTGAAACAAACCAACCTTCCAGGCCCTTTACAGATCCCATGATCACGGCTGTCCGAGATGGTAAAGTCATCAATCAGTCATCTCCAATATTAACGTAAACCACCCTATTTTTCCCTATAGCTACAAAAGTTATTAATTAAATACCTTAATTAAAAATTTGCAAAAACAAGAAATATCCTATTTACATTACATATGTATATTTTATAAATTATTATTATTTTGACAATACAATTTTTTTTGTTATTCAAATGTAAGTGCGCATTTGACCTCCATAGCACCTGATGGAAAGTGACGATGCACACCTAAAAAATGCCTATTCACTCTCGCCTTGCGAAGGTTCAAGTTATAACGTAACGGAACAAGGGAATTCCACTCCATATTGTTAAAATACCACCTGAAATAAAAATAAAACTACAATTTCTTCTAAGGACATTGACAAATTCTTTGTACAATAAATAAAAGAAGTTGAATGTACAGCGTTTCATCGTTTAACCCCGGAATTTTGAAGCATTTGTCTTTCATCTCTGGCATATTAGCTTTCTAACGGATGGACTGACCGTGAAGCGGTTTTTCTCTTTCAAGATATTTTAATCGGGATGTCTCTTATCTATGTTTGATGAACATCTGTTCGGCTGTTTATTTTATGGCATCTAGCGACGGGGTGAACACTGCACAAGATCCGAGGAGCGCTGCCAGTGCGCTCATCACCCTGAGACAGAAATTGACCAGTCCTATGTGCCTGTAATTTCACCAGCACCCTTACCCTTCAAACCCGGAACATATACACATTGAATAATAATAAATATACCTGGCGGCAGAAATAGGTAAGGTGGCAGTACTTCCCTCGATGAACTCTTTCACAAGGACCTCTACTGCTAATGTTAAAAGGTCATCAACTCTTTTCCCAGCTAGTGTATGGATCTCGGTCATAAATTTAGTATTTATTGTAATTAATCTGAATGGAGATCCGATGCCACGCAGAGGACTCAGGTTCGATTTATTCCCTAGACGAACTCTTTCACAAGGTTCTCTGCTGCTACGATAGTAATTACTTGCAATCGCGAAAACTTAACCTATCTCTCTTTCCTTTAAATATTAAATAATCCCATGAAGAACGAACAACGGATTAAAACAAAAGCACGAAATTCAATGCTTGAAATAATTAAGTGAAACCCATTGAAGGGCATTGGAATAAGGACGAATTTCAAAATCGAATAAATGTTACCCTTTCACGGGACGCTAGGTACTCAATTTTACGTTGTACTTTTTAGTGAATAACTTTTAATGGAGTTAAATGAATAATAAACATCTTCTTAAAAAAAAAACAGCGTATTCTTTTTTTATCTTATTAATAACGCACACACTCAACATAGCCCCGCACTAGGGAAACCCTGTATCATACGCAGGTGCCATGGACACTTACATAGACAACTACAAATTGCACCCAAACTCACGAGAGAAATAAATGTAGGCCCGTACAAGTATTTCTCCCGGCCAGGGAATCGAACCCGTGACCTCTGCACGGCAGATCAGCACGGTAACCGTACGGCAACGCAGGCAGTTCCAAAAGGGTAGGCATAGACTGCGGACTCGTAGGAAAGAAATTTTAATATGACGTGATTGTAATATTAAAGATGTTTTTACGTGTTTTTTCATAGAAAATTAGACGGAAATAATTTTGTCAAGGAACATTTTCTCTTGAGGCAAAGCTTCTTTAGTTGTTGTCTTTCAAAATCTCCTAATTTGACACTGAAAAATGCTGCAAACAATATTTGAAGGCACTCGCGAGATCGCCATTCATCTAAATTTATTTGCCGCCAAAAATATCCGCCGCCATTTTCTGGATGCCTTTTTTGCTTTTAGAACGTGAAAAATCACGAGCGCTGCGTCTCGTTTTGGCGTCTGTATCATTCAGACGTCTCACGGCTGAACTTGCTTCTTTTATAAGGAAATTCAATTAGTAATTATTTTTGAATGATCTTCTATAAACACATTACATCGAATCCCTGTTTTTTTAATGATACTCACTGTCGGGATGAACAAGATACCTGGTGGTACGCGATACAGGCATTTCATTCATATTCATTGCAGTTGCAGAGCCACTCAGAGCTTTAAATCGTAAACATCTGACGAACACTGCCGCTGCACCCGTTATTCTGAGACGTAAGTTGACAAATCCCACGTGCCTGTAATTTCACCAGCGCCCTTCCCTTCAAAACCGTAACGCAGTAATGCTCTTGACGGCAGCAATAGGTAAGGTGGCAGCACTTCCTTCCACGAACACTTTCACAAAGACCTCTTCTGCTACAAATATGGCGGCATGTACCTATAACTTTACAGATTTTACAGACTTATTTTCATATCAAGCTCGTCAAAGACAATATATTTGATTTGACCCTTGAATGACATGAATTTATTATATTTTTATTTTGTTTATTTTTTTAATTTATACTTCAGCGTGGCATGTCGATAACTTACTATTACTTAATTATAATAACTTACTTATAACATGGATTAGCTTCAGACTTATAAAGTTTGTAATGTAATAGAATTTAAAATTTGCATGCCAGTTTTGGTAAAATATGTAAACTGTTGCTATATACACAAATAAATATCAATTAATCTTTAAATTCGAAACTATTGAAGTACATTTCTCAATGTTTGACAACAGCATCTCTCTCTTAAATAGCAAAACATTTGTGATCAAACCTTTTTCTATCGCAGCAGAGTTCCTTGTGAAAGAATTCGTCCAGGAAAGTACTTCCTTACTTATTTCTGCCGCCAAGCAGTAATGTGAGCATTACTGCGTTCAGGTTTTGAAGGGTGCTTGCGAAAATACAGGCACATGAGACTTGTCAATTATATCACAGGGTGACGGGCGCAGCGGCAGTGCTCCAGATCTTCGCGATTTTAGGATTTGAGGGGCACTGCAATTGTTATGGACAGGCGCTTATTGTGGGCCTTGAGGCCCATGACAAACTTTTGCCTTCGAAAATGTGGCGAAGTTGCCAACCCGCATTGTGTCATCGTGGCAGACTAACCTCTAAATATTCTTAGGGGAAACCCGTGTCTGGTAGTCGAACGTTTAAGGGGTTGACGATGCTGATAAACTTATTTTTTCTTAGTTATGAACCAATGAAGAGGTCGTATTCCAGGCGAACCTAGATAAAAAGCTTAAAATACTTTAGCCGCTGTTCCCTTAAAATTACATAACACGCTCCAAACACCTTTTGGTTTAAAAAAAATAATAAAAAGAAAATCTAACATAGTTGCTTTTTGTTACAGATCGAGACGGAAGATACATCTCCCCGTTGGAGTGACAGAGAAAGCCACAGTGTCCGGTTCATAAACCAGTTTGGAAAGGATAAAGTTTTTTTTAAAAGAGAGTGGCCGTTTTTTTCGATCTCTACGAATAGTTATGCGTGGTGTGTAGTGTGCAGTTTAAATAGTGTTCGAAGTTTAAAAGTGGATTCAAGATGGCCGCCGTTCCCGCCTTTTTTGGATTGTTTTTGCTAGCTGTTGTAACAGGTGAGTGATTTATTTTAAGTAAGTAGTTCACAATATGGCATGCGAAGATATCGAATTAGTTTTAGAACCAATTCCAAAAGGATGTTAAAATTAAACAAGATTTATTATTGTAATTTCTCATTCCAAAACTGTTTTGCTCTGAGTAATTTTCACTATACTTAGTTTTTCTTAGAATTGCCAAAACAAAGGAAGCGGTGGTCGTAAACATTTTTTTTTTAGATAATAAATTACGGCAAAGGAAAACATGGTGACAATTGATGATGAATGACATTATTATTTTATAAAAAGTTTCCATAATATTTGGAAGTTTTTTTTATTGTAGATGCCTTTGAAATAGATTAAAAGATAGTAAAAATAAATGTCATGATAAAAAACTTTTTTAATTTAATTTTCAGTTAACATTTCGAGTAAAAACTTAGTAATTACATTAAGGTAGTAAATATATTTGAGAATTTTATATCACGGTATTCATAAAATTGTTTTGCTTACAAAATGGCAGAATGAAATGGCGCCTGATAAAAGACCATTTTTTTTGTGATATAAAGCGACGGGACAAACAAGTTGTGCGCCTGGTTTTAAGTGACACGCCTGTACATGACAGTGTCAGGCATGTTATGACAGTTGCAGTTCCACTCAGAGATTTAAATCGTAAAGATCTGAGAGGCACTGTCCCTGCGCCCGTCACCCTGAGACTTAAGTTAGCAAGTCGCATGTAGGACCTATAAATTCATCAAAATCCTGACTCTTCAAAACAGAAGGCAGTAATGTTCACATTACCGTTTGGCGGCAGAAATCGATAAGCTTCTACTCTACTAAGGTAAGGTGCTACTTTTAGTAGCAATAGAGATCCCTGTGAAAGAGTTCGTCCAGGAAAGTACTGCCACCTTACCTATTTCTGCCGCCACGCAGTAATGTCAGCATTACTGTGTTGCGGTTTTACAGATTGAGGATGCTAGTGAAATTACAGGCACATGGGACTTGTCAACTTATGTCTCAGGGTGATGGGCGCAGTGGCAGTGCACCTCATAACTGTGCGATTTAAGGCTCTGAGTGGCACTGCAGCTGGTATGGATAGGCGTAAAGCTTACCGTCAAGCGCACGACTTGTCCGTCACTTAATATTATAAAAAAAAATCTCCTGTCTACCGTTAAAAAACAAGCAATCGGGAAAATCATAAGAAGTCATAGAAGTGAATGTACTAAGTGGTAATTAATCATTTAGTACGTAACCATGAAAGTCTTAAAAGCATATAATTTACTTCGGAAAACAAGAAACTTCAACTACAAACTTTCAAATGCAAAACGACAGTATGAAGACTGTTTAATTTAAAAACATTTCGCAACTTCTAACAGGCACTGTCACAATGCGGGAACGCTTCTCGTGGATTCTAAATAGTGATATAGTGCCCCACTGGAAGTGTCCTGATTTAGATTGACGTCCACGCCCATTAGTGGAATGCATATTGGTTGATATATGAGCGGTGACCTAAGTTTGTAAATGTGTCATGGTTACCCATTGGAAATAAAAATAATTTTCCGGATCTATATCGCGTATATAATAATATGATATTTTTTCATACAAACCAACTTTATAAGTCCCAGGATCACGGTTGGCCGACATGGTAAAGTCATCAATAAATTATATCTAATATAATTTATATTAGATATGTACCTTATTCAGACAAATAAATAAATTGATTGATTGATTGAATTTACTTTTGATGTATTAATTTTAATATTAATAAATTAAAAAACGTCTAATTTCAACAGGGAATTAAAAAAAAAACAAACATACGCAATCATTTGAACAAATATACTCTTTATGTTTAATTAATGATTCAGAAAGGTATTGTAGCTTTCAAATAACTTTACGAATTCTACCAAAACAACAACAACTTATTATTTAAATATTTATACATTATAGCTGATATGCCCCTGTGCCCAGTGTGACCGAGAACCTAGACCAATTTGGTAGTGTTACAAGAACACGGAAGCCTATTGTGCGTTTTGGTTTTGATGAATGGTTTTAGTTGTATAAGTATATACGTCGCAAACTATCCTCTATAGTGTCGTTCATTAAAATGATTTTTTAAATAGGTGTTTTTGCAATAAGGGTGTGGACGTTAAGTCCTTATTGTATTTAGTATAGTTGTAATGTAGGGTAAATGTGTTATGTGTGAAGTTTCGGAATACTTTTAATATTGTATTATGAGGGTGATCGTAAACAGTTTTGACTGGCATTAAACTACGTACAAGCAACACGTCTTTTATTTTGCAGAAAGCAATGGACAGACTTATCAGGTAACTCAGATATCGTCTAATCTGATAAAATCTGACAAGCGAGAGAGATCAGACAATACCTGTAAATGTGGGGTTCAGTGGATGCTACAACACAGTCTATATAATTTTCTTAGACACCTGCTTTAGGGCAGATCTCAACACTCCCACTATCTGTGGCAGCATACTATTCAAAGTCAATATAGTTCTAAAATAAAAGAAGAAGCGTTGACTACTTTTGACGTTAATGTTCGTTTTAGTTTTTTTTTCCAGCGTAGATCCGTCTAGCACCTTTATATCTACGTTTGTCGCCACGAGCCACAGATAACAAAATTTATTTTAATAAGATTAACAAAGGCGCGTTTATTTAGAAGAAGTTTGTAGTTTGTTGAAAAGTACCGAAAAGAAGAGGCGAATGCTGAGCGCACTTTTTTATGCTGTCAAATGACGCTTGAAACCGCAAAAATCCGAGTAGTAGTGTCGCTATGCTTGTCACTCTGAGACAGAAGTGGACCACCGTTACCCTTCCAAATCATACGCATTACTGCTTGGCGGCAGAAATAGTAAGGCAATACATCCCTGGACGAACTCTTTCATAAGGAGCTCTACTGCTAGCAATTGTGTCTAAAGTATATGGGTTATTACGCGTAATACTTGTCATCATCTACAGCCTAGCTTCACCCACCTTGGTCCTGCGGCAGTCTTACCCATCTACGGTCCGCGACGCTGATGATGCAGGACGCCTCACGTTCTGCAACCAGTTTTGGTCATCAATTTATTTTAAACTCACCTGTTACAATATGCACCAAAAGAACAAAAACTAGTTACATACCAAGCCACTAGATGGCGTTGACTAATTTGGTGAGATTTCTTCATCGCGATGTCAAGATTTTCCCGGAAATAATGATTTTAATACCGCCGACTGAACTACCTTAAATTATTAAAATTCGTTGTAACTGTCTTCCTCTTGAATACTTTTGTTAATAGCCTGCACTGTTCCACAGCTGAGCAACAGCCTCCCCCTTCCCTTCCATTCTTCCCTGTAATCGGCATATCCTGGCCGTACTCAGAACTCGTCTAATTTTTGTGTCCGCATCTTCGCCGTTTTCGTTTTCTCTTCCTATCTTCCGGTATTCAATAACCTGTAGTGTACATGCGGAATCCAAACTAATATTATAAATGCGAAAGTTACTATGTGTATTAAGTTTTCACGCCTAAACCACTGAACCAATTGATGAATTTTGGTACAGCGATAGATGGGACCTAGGAGAAGGACGTAGGCTACTTTTCCTCGCAACAATATTTTTTTCTCAAAGTAGAAGTGATTGCATTACTTTCAAAAAACAAACACGGAAAGTTTGTTATTTATGGACCGTGCGACCTAGTCTTCCCGGCCAAGGGCCGCAAAGTAAGTATAAAAATCCATTACTGTCCACTTTTCCAAACTTTTAAATCTATCTACTAATAATGGACTATGTAAACAGGCAAAAAAAACTCATACAGCCCATTGGCCAGTGGTCGTAATTTTATAGTAATTTACCAGTATTTTTTTAAAAAGGCGGTGGGTGACATCAGGTAGTTGAATGGGTGAAATAAACTAAAATGGGATTCTTTTCTGTTTTTTGGTCTTTTTTCTATGTTCGTCCCGAAAATAAGTTAAGTAAGTGCTATATATAGCAAATACTTCTGTCAAATATTACTGTTAATTTTAATTAACATTATTTTTATTTTTCTGTTATACACCTTCTTCTCTTTAGCTTTCTATTATTTCCTCATATTGTTTGAGAAAATCACTATATAAGCCTCGGCGGGAACGGAGATTGCCTTGACTCGTATTAATACAAGGCCTCACCTGTGCTCGGCCTTGTAACTCATAATCGTCCACCAATCCCTTACTTCCCGGCCTCTGAACCAATAATACTATGAAAATTAGTATAGTACAGTTAGGCTACTCGAACTACTTCTTCTATGCAGACGAAGTCGCGGGTACTATAGCTAGTGTTTTACAAAATAGCGATTTTTCAATTATGATCTAACACAGAAAACATTCACTTCGATTATCAAGTTTGTGGAATTACGTCTATTAGCCAGACTTTCCAAATTGGTTAACGGAAAGTGGGTGACATCCAATAAATCGTATTCATCCCCTAATTTGTCGCTCTTAGAGGTGGAATATTTTCTTCAAATTTGAACTGGTCCACTACTAAGAATCATCGAAATCGATTCAGAGATGTCGTCGTAATCGCGTAACACACACACACACACACACACACACACATAAAAAAATACAGTCGAATTGAGTACCTCCTCGTTTTTTGAAGTCTCTTAAAAGGGGCCAAGAATAGAGCAATGCTTTTCGATTCTTTTTAATTATAATAGAGGTTATAATACAACTGAAATCAAACTTGAAACATTATGATAAATTACTAGGATGTAATTTATCGGACAGTGACCACCAGTCGGTGACCACCTCGGTGTGACCACCGCCCATCACCGCCGGTCACGGTGCCTGCGCGGTCAACGGCACAGTTTGGCGGTCACCACACTGTAAGCACTTCATTGACAGCAGGTTCAATTCCTCAGTTAATTTAATTTAATTGTGAAACAAACCCAAACCCATGTTTTGCTCTTGTGTTGCTTTGTGAATTACAAAAAGTTGGCATTTTGAAAAATTTCTAGAACTTAGTCGATCACGCTGATTCAATATGATTTTGGTATAACAGA